TGTTATTGTCCACTCTTGTGTCTTGTGTGCGATAACGTGCACAGCTCGGGGATTTCCAGTGCTTCAAATATCACCTTCTGATTGCTGCGATGGCCCTGAAGGGTCACAGCCACGCGCCGACAGGAGTGTTTGGTGGCTGTATTGCCAAATGTGTAGATGGTTAGATCTTCCCGGCCTACAACTTCGCAGCCGAGTTCTTCAGAAACCTCCCGTCTGATAAACGTGCGCTGGCTGCCAGTATCTAGCAAGAGTCTTACGAGAACATTTCTTGGTGTCCCTGATGCCCACGCTCTTGCTGTTTGGAGGACAGGAAAAGAACAGGAGTTGCTAGCTGGCGCGCTAACAATGGATGTGGCGTGTTCAGGGGGCTCTTCAGGTTGCGGAGTGTACGATGGGGCTGGCAGGGGACGTGATAGTTCACAAAGGATGGTCAAGTGATGACCCCAACATGTGGAACACGACAAGCTTCTGCCTGAACGGCAAACACGAGCGATGTGATTTCGCTTCCCACATTTAAAGCAACAGCGCGCTCGTGCAAGCTTGGTTCGCTTATCTTGTGTTGAAAATGGGGCCTGACAGTTTTGGAGTTCGTGCTCCGGGGAACCACAGAAGGGGCACGCAGTTGATCGGTAGCCTTCCAATTTCGTCGATAGCGCGAGAGTTGAAAGGTGATTTGCCGAAACTGATTCTCGAGGTGTCGTTGGCGATAGCCCTTGTCGAAAACGGTAACTTGCTCGATCTATTTGGCCATCTTCTCTGATTTCGACTTGTATCCTCAAAAACTTCATAATAATATTGACTTGGTCTTCTGGAGCCAGGTCCGGTGTACTCGTTGAAGATGGTGGTGTGGATTCTCTCAGCTTCTGACGGTAAAGGATAGCCAGGTCAGCGGGAAGGCAGCGCATGAGAACTCGATGGAGAACGACTGCGTAGCTGCTAGGTGGAACCTCCAACCCTTCAAGTGATGTTGTGCGGAAACGTATTGCGTCGTGAAGCTGACGAAGTTTTGCCACGTCGCTGGAGGTGTTAATCACAGGTAAGTTCAAAAGCTGATCAATGTGATCGTCGATTAGAATGTCACGTCGTCCAAACCGGTCCTGAAGTGTTTGTACTGCGAGTTCGTAGTTTTGGTCGGAGAGTCGAATTCCCTCGACGGCGCGTTTAGCGTGGTCTGTTAGATACGTCATGAGATATTTGAATTTTTCTATTGGTGGGAGATCAGGGTTTGCATTGATGGTAACATTAAAATGGTCCCAAAATCCCTGCCAATCGCGGAGGTTACCGGCAAACATGGGGACTTGCAGTTTTGGAAGGGCGACGGTCCGGTGGCTCCTTACTATTGTTGCGGTTGATGGAGAGATGACGGGAGGTGCCTCCGGGAGCCGAGATTGAGCGTTGGTGGCGAAAGTGTCTAGGGTGTAGTGGAGACGCGTGAGAGAGGTGCTGATGCGTAGCCGGTATTCTTCTGCACCCTCCACTTCGTCCTCCAAGGCGTCGTCCGTGATGGCCGCGAGGATGTCGCTGTCGAGGTCTTTGAGTGCGGCTTGCTTTTGCGTGAGGTACTCAAGTGGGATTCGCAGTTGGACTTCAGTGGAATCCGGGTTCTCCAGGAGAGCGTCAATTTGGGCGAGAGTGCGAGAGACGGCGGAGCGGACAACGCCACGGGTTCTGCGGAGGCGGCCCATGGCTTCTCAAGGGGTTTCGGCACCAAATTATGTTGAGGAAAGAACCCGAGCGCGTCCGTTTCGTTGGTGGCCGTTTTACTCTCTCGTGCCCCGATCCTGTCGTTCGTGGTCTCGTGTATTGTCCTGTCGTCTCTTTCTTCTTCTGGTAGTTGAATTCCCGTAATCTACAACAGAAGGCTCCATCCCAACACTCAAGAAGCTGGTGTTCGGTCGTCTTTGGCTTGTTGCATAATAGAGAGTGTTCCGTTTACGGCAGAAAAAGTCCCCTCTCGTTGGAACCATGTCTTAACCGGCAGGATATTCGTATGCAATTTAAAAAAAATAGCATTGACGCCCGCGGGCACCACCGTACTCTTAACGCGTTTCAAAACGTCTTGCCCTGGGCCTGCTCAGTATAAGGCTCTGTATGAAGTAGAGGGAACACACTACCGCGCACATCCTTATACAAGCTTTTCTGGGGAACTTCACCTAAAATAGTCAATTGAAAAATACGTTAACAAAACTTTACATGTCGCAGCCACTTTCTTTAAATAACCATGAATGCCACCCGACATCGAAGACGTGGAAACATTTAACCCAGGCAACCTGCTTGCAAGTCTCACATGACAAAAAGTGCGCGAAAAAGAGCCATTTATGTCCCGAAAATACATAAACCGATAAACAACCTGGCGTAAAAACAGATGCGCACTACTACTTGTAGAAACAGGTGCGTACTACTCGATCGCTCCAAGACGGAGCCCCAGACAAACACTGCAAATACCCGGTGCAATTTCAGCACATTCACCCACGAACAATGTAAAACTTTCAGAGCCTACCACAGTTTGCTTATAACAAATACATTGCACACTACATTGAAGACGCAAATTGCGAAAATAGACAAATCATTCATCATTCTTTATTCTACTCTTTCGCGAAGCTCAGCTGCCTGTCCGTGTCAATAAGGCTCGCTGTCGCGATAATTTTCTAGAGGCACTCACAAATATTTTATAGACGTCGTCACCCACTGCGTGTTGGAAAACAGACGCGGAGTAGAAACCCATTCTGCGTGCACAAATCGAGGGCACTTGGCCCAGTTACCAGAGCTTCCGCTAACTTCGCAAAAACGTTTATAGGTGTGTACGACTTGAACAATACTCTCGCGGGTGGAACAAAACGCTGCAATGTTGTCGACTGCGCTAACACTCTAACTTCGGCTGCATGAATTTTAGAACCGATGATTGAACTATTTGTAATAATACTAATACGAAGGGATCTTATGTAAATACAAAAAAGAAGTGGAGACAAAAGACACGCCTGCCAGACGGATCGATTCACTTCTATGTGCTTTCCAACCGGCTTGTTCACTATAAGTCTCGTCGAGGAACCGTTTTACTCCGTGCTGAAAAGCATAGGGTGCGAGACCAGGTTAATCTACAAGAGTTTTACGAGTTATAAAGGTAATATAAATTAAGGTTACTTTCACATTTATACTGGTTCTGCCAAAACGTCATTTGTTGGCTGGGTCGATCACCTCAATGCATTTTTAAAAGTGAAACGTCTTCATGCTCTTGTAACATTTTTGCAGCAGAGCATTATGCTGTGTCTATGACTCAACAAAAATAATACGTTTTTTTTTGTCAATTCTTGGAGTGCTATTAGTGTAATTTTGAAAGTCTCTGAAAAAAAAAAAAAAAAACTAGCACAGCAAGTGAAGAGAAAGCTAAACGGCACTTCATATGGAGGTCCAATTAGACTATGTGGGGTGCCGGTTCACGTGGCGTCGCGCCGAGAAAGTGTGGGAGAGAATTAGACGCGAGGGGACGTCAGAACGCCGAGCTCTGATTGGAGGGATTAGTGGGAGGACGTAAAGCTAGCAGCCTTCGTCTCCACTGCACTGGTCGAACGCTTTAGTCTTAGTCTCGCGCTTGTTTATCCTACCGGGATGTCAAGAATTTAATCGAGTCTGGTCATCACTCGTTTTCGTTCATGGCAGTAGGAGTGGGCCATGGTGTGTGATAATAAGCTCCCCATTACCATTTATTGGGTCATAGGAGAATTTTGTTCAGTTAAGGGCATATTATATAAAGTGTTGTTGCTTGGGCTTCGAATGGATCTTCGTAGAAAGTAGCGCGCGCCCGCAAGCGGCGCGCGTCAGGCATTTTGGGAGCAGTGAGGGTCGCTGCTATGTCGTCTGCTGCTTTCCTGTGTACTGCAGACAACATTCTTTGCAGCGCCCTGTGCTGCGCTGCGCTGCCAGAATAAGGTGAGAAACCTTCAATCACAGCATGTCTGTCCACTGCCCTCGTTTGGTTGGGTCATCAATCTGGATGGCCCACCGCTCCTTTTTGAATGGGCCATCACGCGTGGCCAACGCGCCCAAAAAGCGAGGTATCACTCACCATAGCCTTTTCTATACTGACAAAGCCTGGCAGATCGCCAAGAGACGTGACCGCCGAAAGTGAAAAGGTAGAGCGGCAGACAAGAGGCATGTAACGGGCGCCTTGCTGCGGCGAGACGCCGAAACACACCTGTCCCGAGTGATGAAATGTCCGCTCGTGTTTCTCGCGTTCCTCGGGCTACCGCTTCTTTTCTCGTCAGGTTTGAAAACCATGCTTTATGTCCTCGCCGCTGCAAAATCTGTGCGCTGACTGCAGGCTCCCCGAGAACTGTTCTGTGCTACCAGATTCTCGCGCGCTCTACAAGTCTGCAACCGGGCACCCTACGGCTCCGTCATCGAACTGCCAGGCTTTGCGAGCATAGAGGCGGCTATGCACTCACCCATCCAGCGAATTTTTTTTTTCTACAGAAATTAATACCATTTTTTTTTCCAACGACAAAAAAAAAAAAAAAAATACGCAGACTGCTTTAACTACGTTTTGAAGACCGTTATCTTGCCTGAATGCATGAATGGTTTAGGAATGGTGCTGCAGTTCGTGCGGTAGCATGCGCGACCTAGCCTGCAAAAGCTCGACTGGGCAAGAGTAAAGAATCCGTCCTCCCCTGAGGACGGTCAGGTTGTTTTGCCCCGGTCCCTCCTAAAAGTTGTAGGTCAGGGCTGGGCGATCGTGGACTGCCCCTTTGGGTTGTCTCTTCGCTGCTCGTTGGTGGTGGCGGAGCGTCGAGGAAAGACGCTCAAAGTCGAGAGCAACGGTTCATAAAAATAAATATATTAAAACGACGACAGCAAACTTTGTTACAAGACTCTACTTCCGTTACCACCAGTAACGGAAGAAATGACCACACAAATACTCGATTATGCAAATGCTCGATTGAACACACACATTTGAACGTATACATTCGTACAAGATGCAGGCGAAGGGAACGTAAAACAATGACTCCGAGGCACAAAAAGATTGATTTATTCGAAGATGAACTCGAGTAAAATGGACGTAGTCTGAGGAAGAAAACACAGAGCGAATATCTTCTTTGCTTTTTCGTACTCGTACCATGTATGTTACATGGATGTTATGAATAAGGGAGGTAATGAGGGGGGGGGGGGGGGGGGGGGCTCTGGAGTTTAGCTTTACCTCCTCAAGCGGCAAGAATACCCTGCTTTTCACTCAATGCAATGGAAAGCAAATGAAAACTTCCCAGTTATTACGTCCAGAATTAAAGTGTTTCTTTTGTAGAATGAACGACTACCGTAGAAACCGTCCTTTGCAGGTTGTTTCATAGAACATTCAGCACACAGGTCTCCCTGAAAATCGCAGGACATCAACAATAAAAACCCATATTGCGCCGAAGAAACCTCGTCCAAATACCCCCGCACACTTTGAAACGTTGATACTGCGGAGTTACAAATACGTGAGACTCTGCCTATACCCGTATTTCCTTTCGTTTTTCGAATTTTAGAGTTTGAGAAATACAGCAAAACCAAACGCCGGATTCCTAAGTGTTTTAAACAGAACAAAACAAAAATATTTCGGTGTTTTACGTGCTAAACTAACGAAGGGCATCTGGCACGCTTCGGCGGAGGACTGAAGATTAATTTCGATTGCCCGGGGATCTTTTAACTTCCTACCCGAAATCTCGGTTACCCGGCGGCCCCTCCGCATTAAACCTCCGTCAGATTGCGGGCACCTTGGCCGGGATTGGAACGCGCCATCCGAATAAATATGAAAAAAAAAAAAAAAAAACTTGGATAAGCTTTGAGTTTGGAAGAAAAGAAAAACGAAACAAAAAGTACTATCTGAATTTCGCAAGAAATAAATCTTGAAGTTTGCGCGCAGAAACCATTGCATTGGACTGCGGACGGAGCCCGAGCCAACCCGTTTACCGGAAAGGGCTGTCAATAAAACAGCCGCAGCTGGCCTGGCCGGCCATGGCTAGCCTGACCCATTCGCTGAAGAGAAGATTCAACGTTGGTCATATAGACGGGAAAATGTCCAACGCTGAAATCACAGCGAACCTCAAACGCGTGGCGAAGGGGTGACTGCAGAGACGTTTTCCTCGGGCCTTGTGACTGCCAGAGCGTATTCACAGCACGGTCAGAGAGGCGTCCTCAGCACCGCACTTTGCCTTGTGTTCTTCGAAGAGCTCCGTCAAGGCTGTGATGTACTTTTCGTGCCAGATGGAGACGTCCTCCGCCGTTGGGTCTTCTATTTTGGGCACTCCGATTGGTTTCCCCACTGTTGAAAAAACCAGAAAGAAGCAAAAATTAAAAAAAAAAAAATCCTGCAAAATGAGTGCACACAAAATTTCTGATTACAGCCACTCAATCAATATAGTATAATCTAAGCATCACCACTTGCAGCCCGTGTTGTAGAAAATGACTAAACTTTTTTTTAGAGCGCAGCCCTTAGGCCCCCGTTGCCGGCTTGAGCGGCGTCGGCGTCGGCGCCGCCGTCGGCGTCACCGCGCGGTCTATTATGGGAAACGTCCGATAATGCATCGCGGTGACGTTTCGGCACCGCGCGGTGCATTATGGGAAACGTCCCATAATGCACCGCGGTGACGCGCGCGTTGTATTATGGGACGTTTCCTATAACGCAATAATGCACCACGCGGGAGGGAGGCAAGAGGAGGAGGAAAGAAAAAAGAGGGGAAGGAGGCGAGGAGCACGGGAGGAGTAGATGAGGAGGGAGGAAGAGAGGGCACGGATGAGGAGGAGGGGCATACCGTCCCCTCCGTATCGTTCCCTCCTCCTTGAGAACTGCGCTCTAATTCCACGTTACAAAGAGTTTTCAACGTCTTTTTTTTATGTGGGACTCTTTTTTTTTTACAGAACTTAAAGTTGGAATTTTACGTGCCTATCTAAAAATGGTAACTTGGCACGCCCACAAGAAGGACTCAGGATAAATTTCAACCGCCTGGGGATGTTTTGAGATGAAAGTGAAAATCTCGGTTAGACGGTGCACTCTCCGAAATAAGCTTCCGTCAGATTGCGGGCACCTCGGCCAAAATGCGAACCCGTCACCTGGGCCTCCGCAAGTAGGCATCCTGGCTCGGAGACACCGAGGCGGCTGCTCACGAAAGCACTCGGGCCAATACATTAGTCGAAACTTGCGTTCTAACCCGGGTTTGGCCCTAAAAAAACAATAAATAACAATAAACAGAGTAACTGCCCATACCTTGTTTGCTCCTTCCTTGTGGTAACTGACTGATACCCCATTCACGTGGTCTATGCTCCGTGTCACTAGTTGTGCGTAGTGCGGGTGAGGGCAACGCCAGTTGAAGAGAGAAAGGATGAGCACTAGGATGGCGGCATGGGAGAGGAGGACAATAGAGGGCGACGGGAGAAAGAGTGAGCACTAGGAACGTTAGAGAAGAGAGGAGGTTTTCCTCCCCAGCTCTTTTGAGCGCTTGCACTAATTCTCCCCTCGCCTGGCGTTGCCTTCACCTGTACTGCACGCAACTAATGACACGGAGTATAGAGGTATCTATAACATAAGTATCTTTATGATGGGGATCAGTTCGCCGTCTTCCGCGCGTGGCATGTGCTCAAGAGCGCTGGCTGATTGGCCGATTGCAAAGGGACCGATGTTAAAGGTGCCCTTAAGCCGCGCCCGCACTGGTGGTACATCAGACAAAAGACAGCCTGCAGACACTGTCCCGGGCGTGTTGCTTTTTTGCGTATTGGTCACACAAAAACTGTCTGCGGACATCTTCGAAGCATGTATAAAGCAGCCATGCTTCCAACATGCTTGAAACGTGACCGAAAATCATTTTGTTATGATATCTGCCGCAAACCAGCATGGGTTTCGAAAGTCCCTGTCCACTGTGACCCAGCTCACTGAAACATTGCATGACTTCACCACGTCTTTGAATAGCAAAGGGCAGATCGATGCAATGTGCCTAGATTTGTCGAAAGTTTCGACCGAGTACCCCATCTTGAGCTTATAAATAAATTACTGAAACTAGGGATAAATCAAAAAGTGTACCAAGGCCTGCTTTACAAATAGAAAACAATTTGTAGGAATAAGCAAATCAAACTCAGGTTATGTCAGCGTTCCCCCGGGCGTTCCGCAGGAGTCTGTTTTGGGACGTACCCGTTTTATTATTGTGCTATAAAAACGATATAGCCTCTGTTACGGTGCGCCTGTTCGCAGATGATTGCTTCGTGTATTCGGTTGTGTCTTACTACAACGATCAGGTCCGGCTAAATTCGGCACTCCAGATGGTAGAAAACTGGTGTCAGGAGTCAAAAATGAAAATAACTCGACTGAAACTGTGTATTCAGTTATAACGAATACAAAGCAAAATATTCTTCTATTCGTATACAAACTTCAAAACCACACCTTAGTTCAGTTTCACGAGTTTAAATAGTTTGGCCTTACCATATCATCGAACTTAACTGGAAGACACACGTTGACAATGTGTGCTCAATAGCTAGGAAGAAACTGTTATCTCTAGCCCAATCTCAAGCTCGCTCCCCCGAAACAAGACTAACTGCTTATAAGGCACTAATACGGCCAACTCTAGAATACGCTATTAAAATTTGGGATCGTTTTAGGGCCTATCTGATTACTAAACTTTAAAAAAATAAAACACAAAGAATGGCAGCCCGATTTTTATTGTCGAGATATCAAAGAAGAGAATCGGTGCAGGGAGTGCTTAACGACATAAACATTCCATAGCTCTGTGACCGTAGGAAAATAGCTCGCCTAAAATTCTTTTCTATGCTGAAAAATGGTCATTTAATTTTCATACCGACCCTTACATAGTTGCTCGGCAAAGCAGGCCCCTCAGATATGGCAACCACTTAAACCGATACCAACTAGATATGGCAGATAGCGATATATATAAATACTCCTTTTTTCCAAGAACTATATCAAACTGGAACAACCTACCTCAAGAATAAACCACAGCAAATACACAATTTGTTTAAAAAAAAAAAAAAACCTTTTGAACATAGTTGTAAACCCGAGACTGGGGATACGAACGAGGGACAAACACAGAACGACACAGAACGACCGTGTCGTTCTGTGTTTGTCCCTTGTCCGTATCTTCAGTCTCGGGTTTACAACTATGCTCAATTTACACCAGCTATAGCCTGCACCCTCACCATTGCTTCATGCCTTTTGAACCTTTTTGATAAAAATCAACCCGTCACTAATATCTTATATTCACGTAAAATCCTTATCTTCATCTCACCCTACGATGGACTAAAGGCGGAAGCCACGAACCGCCATATCCAATCGCGAGCCACTTAGACATTGCGTGGTATTTCGCTTCGGCGCACGTATCGGTGCTCGCGTCTCGGATCACTGATGGGAACTGGCGGACAGTGGTTCGCATCGAGCAATGAGTGACTCAACAATTTGACATTGCAACAAAAGCCACGACGTACTGGCTGTTTACGGTGTCGAAGCTATAAAAGGACTCAGCGTTTTTGGATGTAGAGCATTATTCGTCCAAACCTAATGATTGCGAAGCGTGCCATAGTATAGCGTGGTACGTGATTGGACCTGGCGGCCGATGGCTTTGGCCTTCAGTCCATCGTAGGATGAGACGAAGTATAGATTGCTTCTTTTCTGTGTGATATTTTTTGCATCCTTGTTTTGTGACATTCTGGAGATTTATGAATTCAGTGTCGAGCTCTGTGTAGTAGATGTATCAAACACCTGTCCCACTTCTTTTTCTTGTATGTGAGTAGGGGCACTTTTCGTGTATTCACGTATGTTTTTACGTATATGTTTTAACTGTAGTTGCCATAGTGTCCGTGTTGTTTTTATTTTATCAAATGTATTCTTATGTTTTGTACACTCCTGTAACATCTTAACAGGCTAAAAGTATGCATAAATAAAATTAAAAAAACACCGGCCGCGTTTATTGTATGATTTATGAGCAGCGTTTATTATTTATCGTCTTTTATTACACTTTCGTTCAACACTGCATGCAGAAGCGCAGCCGGCCTCGAGCTCTCCGATTCAATTAACATGTTCTTTCTCTCAACAACCACAGCTGAATTCGTTTGTGTAAGTCCAGACATACAATTGTTGTATTGGCTGGAAACATACATATGATTTCCGATCAGCGTCAAAACTCTGCAGTGCACTGCCTCGACGACGAAGTCTGCAGAACAATAACAGAGCAGTCCCGTCCAACCAACTCACCTGCTCCAGACACCGGTAGTCCAAGTGCTCTACGCGCACGTGGAGAGAACTCGACCCTCGGCTTTGCAGGTGGTGTTCAAGGAAACGGCAGGCAGTACCGATTGATATTAGGAACAACGAAGAGGCCTTAACAAACCCAAGGTATTCTTACTGGTAACGTGACCGTAATAAGAAAATTGAACCGGAAACGTTGAACACTTACTCGGCAGACAGACGAAATGGTGACCCCTTAAAAATATTGAAAACCCACAGATTATGAACAACCCTGCCAAAGGGTTGTGCATAATCAATTAGCAGACATAAATGTCATGGTTCAATAACTCACTAACGACGACGATCTTTTTCCTGAAGGGGACGTAGCCGAAGTTGTACTGCATGATTCCTCTTCCGTAGAAGATGACGGGCGATAAGCCCGTCACGGCCTTCATTCTTTCCTGGAACCAGCGCAGTCTTGACCCTGGTGGATTCTTTACCTGGTAGAAGATGTCGTTCTCACCGAAGGAGAAAACCGGCACCAGGTCAGCCCTGATGGAAACGGTGCATGACATGCGTTAACGCTCTACCGTATTGCGAAACCTAAGCGCATATGCTTTAAATGTTCACGAAAGAACTGAAACGGTAGGAAGGCACTTGTGAAATTAATTTACTTTCTAGCTGAAAGAAATTACGCTGACGAATAATTAATTCTAAAGAAGAATATTTCACTTCCAAAACATGAAAGAATAAGATGCATTTTTTTAACGGAACCGTCCGTCCTTCAGTCCACGCATTTACCTAATTTAGTGCAAAAACGGATACACCGATTCAGTTTTCCCGCCAAAGTCACGGGGAAGTTTATTTCACATGACGAGACGTCACGTGAACTATGCACCAATTCAACTTCCCCGCTAAATTTAACCTAAAATTTTATGTCTCGTGACTCGACGTCACGAGGCCTATAGACAAATAATTTTTCCCGCTAATTTTAGCGAAAACATTTACGTCACGTGACCTCATGCCATAGGAACTATACATCAATATTCAGTTTCCTCGCTAAATTTGGGGGCACAATATGTCACATTGCCTTACCTCCACTTTCTGCGCTAAATTTAGCTGGGAAATTGACGTCACGTACACCAGGACTAGCTGCGCAGTTTGTGCTACCCACCCGCATTGCAGTGCGCAGCGGACGAATCCCTTGCGGTTCCTGAGCGTCAGCACGTACATGCCCTTGTGAGCGTCCAGGGCCTCTTGAGCACCGCCGACGGCGATGATGGCCGCATTTCCCCCGCCCTGCTTCGTCAGCATCCACCGCAAACTGTCCCTGTCCGCCGAGATAAGACCTGCGGAATACAGCAGCCTCGTCAGAACGAATGCGTCAATTCGAAGCTTGAAATTATTCCGACTGCACTCGGGTCCGGTCTCGACTCGCGGTATGACGCCACGCCACGCTCGTGGCTCTGGCTGTTAACAGATAGCGCGGAGATGCTTAATTCTTTGATGAAGTAGTTTGAGCACATGCGCGATGTCTACTTCGCTCGTTAATAAAGTATGCAGTTGCGTGTATCTTGATAATAAAATGCGCTTGTTAATCAAGTATGAGTTTGAGTATATCTTGAAATAAAATCATTATTATTATTATTATCATCATCATCATCATCATCAAAGTCACCATCCAGTTGAATGGTAACTTCGACAACATATATTCACCGAGGCAAGCCTCAAAATAGCCGGGCTGAAAAGAACATTTGGTCAGAGCTGGAGGAATCCTTCAAGCTTGGCTGCTGCAACGGAGCTTTAGGAAGTCTCTGCGAACTGCCACTGTTCCAGTGCCATGGTGAGCAGCGGCTTTCTTCCACAGCGGCGCGAATTGGCTCGACCTAGCCCTGCACGTTGGACGACGTGATCGCTAGCACCCAGTCCTGTCTGCGTGACATTCGGTCAGAGCGCAGTTCCCCATCATCCTGACCAGTCACCTGCCCCAGTGAATGGCGACGATACTTAGAGGAGTGCCTCAACCTCCCGACCGCATAACCCACGCCTCGCCGAATTTCCTTACGCATATCGAGTCCCCTAAGGTTCGCACGATCAAACGCAGGGCGTGTTACAAGTCTATAAACAACAATGGCAGACGCATGTCCTGTTCGGATTTCAAGTTCAATTACCATGTGGGACAATCTTGCTCCGGGATTACTCATAAAACCTTCATCACCATGGGGAAAATGTAACGCAAAAAATGAAAGTGCCGATAGTGTCGTGGGGTGGATGGTCAGGCTGGATCATCTGAGGCGAAGTCGTCAAGCTCGTCCGAAGGAATAGCACTTCTCACTTCACAACTAACAGCTATGAATCAGAAGCTGTTGGCGGTTACTCTCCCTAAAGGGCAGTATCGATTTCCTGGGACACTCTCGGCGAAATTAAACAAATTTTTAGCCCTCAAGTCCATTGTCGAGAGCCTAAGGGAGACTGTGAATGGCCTTCAGCAATCAATGGATATCTTTTCGACCGACTGTGACCGCGTCCTCAAGCTGGCGATCACCAGCGAACAAAATGGGAAAGCTCTGGAAACGGAACTTTCTCGCTTAAAGTGAGAACGAGTAACACAGCCGACTGCCAAATCTGGAAGTGCACGGACTCCCTGTCTCGCCTGATTAAGATCTCATGTCGTTTGCTGAGACTTTATCGACAAAGCTCAGATATCTGACTTGTAGAAATCCGACATTTTTTCACTTCACAGCCTGCCAGCCAAGTATGCAAGAAACCTACCGAATCTGGTTAGATTCGCGTCTGTCAACACGAAGGTATCCTGGAAGGCAGCGCGGGCTGCGCTTCGTTCGCTGGGTCAGGGTAGTATCTCTTCCTAAATTGTACTTGAATGACAACCTGATCCACGCGAACAAGGAGCGGTTTTGGCGGGCAAAACAGAAGCGCGAGAAGCTGGGCTATAAGTACGTCTGGATAACAAGAGCGAAGATATACGAAAGAATGCGGTGGGTTCTCCACTAGCGAGAATTAACAGTTCGCTGGACCTTGAAAGGATTGTTTAGATGTATCGCAGATTTCGCTCAGGTTTCAAATTTTTCGTCTCTTCGAAAGTTTTTTGAAAAGTATGTGATGAGGACTTCCTATCCTGATCATACGTAAGCATTGGGCCGGATTCGAGATTACTTCAAGAGCTACGCTCAAGTTCGTCTGCTTTTCTTGCAGGGGTTGTGGTGACATCAGAACGCCTAGCTCTCATTGGTTCTGAATGAAGGTTAGTGGGCAGATATCAAGGCAGCTTGCTTTGAAGTCTACCCACAATCGTTCAATCAGAGTCAATCAGAGATCGGCGTCGTTCTGACGTCACCGCAACTCTTGCACAAGAAGCAGACGACTTGCTCTCCGCATTGCTTCTTCAGTAGATGGGTTGGTCCTAACAGAAATTAACATTACCTCTTTTGCTACAGATCAGTTCTCTGCACCGGGGTAGCGTGGCACATTTTCCGCTCGAGATATGAGTCATGGTGACGGTATCGCGGTTTTCGTGAGTGAAAAGTTATCATTTGCAAATATTTCGTTGACGTTCAGTCAGGCTGAGTTCCTTGCACTCCCTGTGGAGAATGCAATCTATTCATATGTTTATTCGCGGTGTATAAACAACCGTCCACAAATATAGGATATTTTCTCGAGGAATACGGAAAAAAAAAAGCATTACTGATTTGAGCTTGTACGGTCAATTATGCTTTATATAAGACTATAATATCGACATCTTAAGTAGGTCCAAACCTAAGGTAAGCAATTACCTGTACATTTTGGCAACTCACGGTATTCAGTCCGTTATTAATTCTCCAAAGCGTGAAGAACTCCTTTTCGGCATACTTGTTTCCTCATGCATTGATCACATTAACGTAATAACATCTTCGACCATTGTGAAATCTGCAGTTATTAGGGAAAAACTTGCCGACCCCTACATTGCGACTTGCCGCTGGTTAAATGGTGTTTTTAAATGGCGCGAAACATCAAGTCGCATTAATGTTACAAGTATTGACACCAAGTATCATCACCACAGCCTTTGATAAGTTGGTCTCGGCTTTTGACTGGAACGACTCTTTGAGGACCGTAAACTACACCGCCGTTTATCCAAAGTTTGTGCTGTTTTTCAATCAGTTCTATAAAAGAGAGAAATATACATTAAGATGCGCAACCCCGAGCTTGCATGGCTGAAATCGAATATTTTTGGCGCGATGGAGGAGAAAAATTAACTATGGGCTCGTTGCCGTCGTTTGCCCAATGATGCACACCTACGATTAAACTTCAAATCGAGCTATAACAAAGTAAACGTGATGACTCGATCGGCCAATCGCATTTAATATCATAGACAAACCTCTTACTCTCATTCAGATGTAGGTAAAACTTGGTCTTTGATAAATAAACTTCGTGGACACCAAAGACATTCCATTGATGGCACAATAAAGCGGCATTTTAGCAATAAAGTGCAATCGATTGTAGAGGACTTTCACTTTAATGGTTTTTTCGCAACTTTTTTCTGTATTAATGAACAAGTCTTCAGCAAGAAAGTCGTAAACGTAGAAAAATGTTTGAACAGCAGTAGAGGCTTTAATACACGACGTTTCGGGAAGAGACTTCCCTTCTTCAAGTGTGCAGAAAATACAGTTGCAAAGCGCTTTTAGAGAGACCAAAGGAGAGGAGGAGCATTGGAAAAAGCGAAAGAAAAAAGTCATGTATAATAGTACAAGTAAAAACACTTGAGCATGAAAAAACTACATTCCAACAAAACACATATAAAAAAAAAAGAGAGAAGTGGTAGTTTTAAGGGTAACACGGTCGCGGCACTCGTTAGCGAAACCAAGAAAATACATCACAGACAACGGCCTCCGTCACGTTAGAGTTAGAGCTCCAGATCCAGAAAAATAACAACATACAGGGGTCAAGGCAAATGAGCCCAAGCCAGTATAACGGCGTTATACTGGCTTGGGCTCACTCGACTCAGCTTCTTCTGCACTCAGCTTCTTCTGGAAGATTTTGCTGATAACCTATACTCCGCATTCGATCACAACCTTGGTACCTCCGCACTATTCTTAGATGTGTCTAATACTTTCGACACAGTAAGCCACACGATACTGTTAAAGAAACTGTATACAGCCTAGGATTTCGCGGTTCATTTTATTCCCTCTTGAAAAACTATCTTTCTCGTCGCTCTCAACTGGTGTGCGCATCTGGAATTCAGAGTTGTCGAACTGTACTAAAACCGGAGTACAACATGGGGTCATTCTATCACCTTTTTCGTTTAATATTTTTGTCAATGACCTCGCCGCCACGGTACCGGGATGTAAACTCTATCAATACGCTGGCGACACTGTAATGATGACCCAAAACATCAATTATGAGAATTCCATCGGCCGATTGCAACCTCAAGCGATAGCAATTGTGGACTGGTTAAAAAAAAAAAAAAAAAAAAACTTCTTGATATGATTGTTAAAAAGACAAACCTATAATCCGCTCAAAACAGTCACACTGAATATCCCATAAATTCTACACTCTTCTTTCTGTCATCAATGCAACTGCATTCGGGTAGAATGTACAGATAGCGTGAAGTATCGGGCATATATTTTGGTAGTGGACAAAATGGAATCTTCGTTTTCCATATATTTTCAAAAAGATGAGAAGCGCTAGTTACCTACTATATGATAGAAAATATTATTTTTTTGTATACGTTCGAAGAATGATTGCCTATTTGCTTGATTATAGCGTTCTTCGCTACTCCATCCCCGTTTTTGTCAATTCTTCTGACTATAGGAAAGCCAAAGTGGATTGCATCAGTAAAGCTATCCTGAAAAGTGTTTCTTATAAACATGAAATGCCGGACAACTTAACCTTTTCGATTATTTGCAAGTACCTAACTTGCAAACCCTGTATATGCATTCCGTGGTATCAGGACCCTTTTGGAATTCTTATTTTAAGATCTCAAGCCCACCTTCCCCCGATTTTTGACATGCTCATCCTTTTCACATACATATACACTTTTTTCACATACCTCTCCCTCGCGCTCGTTATAGCGAAAGTACGCGTGCGTTCTATGTGCCACATATTTTTTATCTCTCTTACTGCCTGAACGTCTAAGCCAAACATCGTTGGACAAATTTAAAAAGATGCTTAGAGGTATTTCGTTTAATAAGGAACTATTGGTTTTGGTCTCTAGCCCGTTCCTTAACATTGTAGACACATATTGCTCAGTAATGTGTGTCTTGAACGCCTGTCTTTCTGGAACAATGTTTGGTATTCTGCTTTTTGCAGGACACGTTATTTTTATTGGAAGACTTCTTTTGTGAAATTTGTTTTAATAGCTTAATAAGTTTGACGATATTTCATTTTGCTTTGACATTGCTCTTGATTTCTGTTTTAGCGTGTGCATAATCATTTTTTGCGTAAAATATTCCCTTTATGACTAGAGTGACTACCCCTACATCAAAGTGTGTTTACATTTCTCTTTTTTCTTTCTTCTATTGTATGCATTTTCCGCAGCAACACAAATACATATAGTGTTTTTTTTTTTTTTTTTGAAGGCTGGCATTACACAAGCCTTCCGTTGGCTTTGATGCGTCCGCAATACTAAACTTCCTCTTTCCTGGTTGCAATAAGCTATTTATTATTATTATTATTATCATTAAGGATGGAGAGTGAGTGTAACGACTGTGGGCACCAAGAAAATTGCAAGCGACCACTGGGTTGGTTCTAGTTGTTGATCTGGTTGTTGTGTCTATTAAAATCTGTAAAACAAAAAAAACTTGCCAGTGAGGATAGGACTATTAATACAATCATAACTCGTGTCTAAGGTCAAACTAATGACCGCAAAAAGAACACAACATTCCCTCCTTTTGAGTTAAAAAACACTTCTTCAGACGCATATTTCCGAGGTTGTTGTTTTAGCAGCAATCACGTTAGATTTATGAATATAGCGTTAGCCATACTTGGTTCTCTATGATCATGGCGCCGACAAAAAAGGACGAACGATATCCTTCGGAAGTGCACTTGGCACTTGCGCTGTTTACGGGTTCAATTTAGCATGTGAAGGTTGTGGTTCAGCCGGTACGCACCGTAAAACATGGCCAGTTCCCGCGACAAGGGAATGTAGAAGTTCATATTGAGCGTGAGCAGCAACGTCTTGATGCCCGGGTAGAGCTTGTCGAAGCCCGTCGAGTCTGTGGCGAAGTTGATGAAAGCCCCCGCACAGACGATGCCGTGCGGGTGGTAGCCAAAGATGTAGTTACGGCTGGGGTCCAACTCGCCGGTCTTCACCAGACTCACGGGGTAGTAGTCCCGGGCGTAGCACCATATGGGCCACCGACGAACCCAGCCGATGGGACGTCCGCCGCGTTTGGGCGTCTTGGAATCGTAGACCATCCAGACGACGTACAGCAGCGGGAGGTAGTAGAAGGACGTGAAGAAGAGCAGGTACACGAAGAGTCCGGTGCCCCAGAAGACGCCGAAGAAGAAAAGTCCCGCCCCGATCACAACCGCCAGCGTCTGCATCCGCCGCTTGAGCGGTATGTTGAGCGGCGCGAACTCGACGCCCAACACCTTCATGGCACTTGAAGCACTGCACGTATAGCCCAAGAGAATTCAGGCAGCGCGTCAGTGTCGAATAAGAAGAGAAAAAATGACAAGAGCTAACACGGTTACCTCTGTCGCAGTTGGCCAACATATGCCTCTATAGGTCACTAACCACCGAGAAATAAGGTTTCCACCCCCCAATATTTTCCGAGAGCCCCGTCGCTCGCCACTTTTTTCATTAAAAATTCCGGGAAATCATTTATAACTTTTGTATAAGATCACCGTTAGTTCTGAAACATCGGCATCTGGTTCGAATCGCCAGAGCTATTTTTTGGCGGAAAATGCGCATTCAGCAATGCGTAGTTTATTTTTGGGGAAAAAATAGCTTTTTCGGGACACCCTGTACAGCGACACCGCTACGTGCATGCGCGGCGCGGGTTTATCTGCTTGCGCCGCAGCCATGAGTGATTGCCTCGTTTACACCAACTCATGTATACAAACAGACCGGAGCCCCCCTAGCGGGCGCCACCGACGCAGCGCATGTGCGATGGGGGTGTGGGCAAGAAGCTCGCCGTCGCCCATAAACAAACCATTGGAATGGGATGTTGTCGGCGTCGGTGTGAGTCCCCTGCCCTTTTTCGCGTTGGAATTGTTAAATCTACGTCTTCCTGGCAATGTCTGACTACTTGAGCGGCCTCATGCGAAATTAACGAGGCTCGTTACGCCGCAAAACGTGGCGTGAATAATGTAACATGCGGTGATTCATTCCGCGTGGACGCCGCAAAATGGACGCTAAAGCCTGACTCACATGGTGAGGTTCAGCTCGCTATTTTCAGTCATGATGTCGCTCTAGCTGCAAAAATCTGAACCGTAGCTGAAGTGTCGACTTCGATACTGAAAATCGCAAGCAGAATCGGACCGAGTGAATCAGGCATAACAAGTCGGTGATGGCCACTTGCAACAATTATCAACATCTCCTTATATCTACTGTTTACACCGAGCCTACTTACCCGAAGCAACCTTCGAACTTAAATGTCTTTTGAGGTCTGCACTTCTTACCGCAATCACCGGATCAAGGTTTGGTCTACGAGCCGCTTTCGTTTAAACGAGCAGACGACAAGCAGAAACGTTTGGGAGAGCAAACGACAGCTCGAACGATGAGGCGGCCGTTTGAGCGTGATGACGCACTGAACGTAGTCCGCAAGTGGTCCGTACAAATTGAAGGTTTTCCCGCGTTCATGTTGGAACAAAGCAAATAAATCTGACGACCACAAGTATCCATGAATTCAATCCAAAGTGCTTTCCACCCAAGCAATCGTGGCCCCATGGCGTCTGTTTTTCCTTTTTCACGGCCCCTGTTCACGTTCTTGGACGAACCGAGCAGGCAGAAAACGAAGACTGACCTTCAACCTTTCCCGTCTCTTTTAATAAAGCCCCAGTCGCGGCGTTTCGACGAGAAGGCAGGTTTTTGTCCGGTTTTTTCTAAAGTAACAGAGGAATGCACGTTCCCCGTGGTGGCTTCCGCCCACAGCCCTAGACCGGAAGTGCGCCCGACGCGCCACCACCGCGCAATGACGTAACAGAGATGAGTTCGTGTATAGCTCGATCGGGCGCAAATGTGAACGTGTGCGTATACTCCGTGGCAGTACGCACACGTTCACAACGCGAGCTTTGCTTGCTACGACGACGTCAAGAAACGACGTCTAGGACGACCTCTAGGACGACGTGTAGGACGACGTCCTAGTGGCCGACATCAAAGACGACGTCTAGGGCGACCTCGCGGACGTTTTCAAGGACGACCTCTAGGACGATGTCTGCATACGCACGGCGCGTTCGAGGCCAGATACCGCATCGCGAAAACCGGATGAAGTAGCTAAAGGATGCTATCGCATCCATGAACACGCATGACTGGTCAAGTGAGCACGGTAGATTCCACCGCGTCGTCAGCTTAGGGCTGAACGGAGTAGAGTCACTCGAGGCGCAAGGAAACGCAGAACGGGGCCAGGCATCTTATTATCGATCCGCAGCCAATGCAATGGACCTTTTGCAGAAACATCGGTTCGAGAGTAACTGGTTCCAGTACCCCCTCTCTCTTCCTTCTGGCCGAGCAGAGAGGGAAGATGGTTTCGTTGTGTCGACTTCGGGGCGGAAGGTTACGCACGATGGGGACAAATGCGAGTTTGGGGGAGCCGTATCTAGGTCACGGCGTCTCAATGGGTGAACAGGATGTAGCTGACGTTTTGGGAGTGCAACGGGTGGGAGAGGCCTCACGCGCGCGTTGTTTTCTCGCCACTTAGCCTCGACCCCAGTCGCGTGTCTAGGTGGCAGCACATATTCGCCAAGAGGTCCATTGTGGCACTAGTGGAAAAGAACGCCCCACAACCAATCAGAAAGCGCGAACATAATAAGCCCCGCCCTGTGTTTCTTAAAGGAGTCATGAAACGCTTTTTCAACTTTTTTCTGTTTAGCTTTCCTCCTCAACTCATAAATCGCACATTGTACCAAACAGTTCAAGAAGTCGGAAAGGGGGGAGTCCCATCTTGCTCGGAATCTCCCTTGTGTAGCCCGGACACAGCCATTGTCCCCCTAGAAGATTAGCCCGTCGCTCATTATTCCGACTAGTTGCTTTCCCCACCCCGTTCACCCCGAAGCTGACAGTGCTGTGGAAGCTACGTGCTCGTTGGGCCATCCACACATTTTCCACGTGATCACACTCTCTCGAGCATACCGACCCGCAGAGAATGAGGTCAGGTGATGAAAGGGAGGCGGCTGATTGGTCCGGCAAGCGCGTAGCTTCCACCGCAATGTCAGCTTAGGGGTAAAGGGATTAAGTGAGGTCCGGTGTCGTGTGACGTGCGCTTGGGCCCTGGTGACGCGCTGCGGGGGCCCGGTTATGGTGGCTAGTAGCCCGGTGACGCGCTGCGGGGTCCGCGGATGTATCACAGTGAAAAGGCGGAGAGTTTACGAAGGGAAGGAGGTACGAAATAGTCCGCTGTTTTGCAAATTTTCGTAGTGAAAGTCGGGCTTCTGACTTTCTACCTTTGTTCTTTTGGCCCACTGAACGATGTGCTATTAGTAAAATCCCAATATAAATGGATTTACTCCAGGCCAAAATTCGTTTCATGGGTCTTTTAAGCTGTCGGAAACTGCTCAGAGTTCGTATGTTCGATTCCCGCCAAAAACAAAGTGTGGCGAATATAATCCCTGGACAGGAATGGGCAGTATTTCAAATACAAGTATTTGAAATACGTATTTCAAATACTTTGTGTATTTTGCATTTGTATTTAATTACAAATTAGGTAATGTATTTGACGTGTGTATTTAAATACTAAAACGTGGGTATTTCAAATACAATTGTAATTAAATACAATTTTGTGGGCGAAAATACATCCCTCAAATTTATTGTCACTGTCCAGAGCAGGAAGAAAACTACGTTCTGCACCGAACGCAGTGTCTATCAATCAAGCACAAGCGTTTAGTGACTTTGTGATTACGGTGCTAGTCCAGGGCAAGAATAGTGACGACATCGACGTTCACAGGCAGACTGGCTAAATAAGTGCCTTTGACAACTTGTGATGCTTTCCAGCCTGATTTCCATCCATATTTTAGACTGGAACATTCTAAATGCGCGGGTTGTCCAGATTTCCATAACTCGTGGTGCGAGTTGCAACAATAACAAATTCTCTAGCTGTGCTGTGCGTCTCGATCGTCTCGGTTCTTTGTTGGTCTGACTCTATACCAACATGTAATCGACAAAAAAGCTGCTTGAAGCTCTGTACTTTTTTCACCTATTACGTCCAAGCTGATTAAATTTTTTTGTGATTATATTTCTGTTACGTTACTAGAGCCTCGCATACGAACTCCCGAGTGTGCGATGCAAAATTAAAATGAGATACCCAGAAACACGTTGCAGGTGCCCTGAAGTCGCTGATGCAAATTTTGAGGAATGTATTTGGAAAAGTATTTGGAGGGAAACCAAATACATTTGGTTGCATTTATATCTTGTACTTAAATGCTTTTTTTTGGAAATGTAATTAGATTTGTAATTAAATACATTTTTGACGAAGTATTTTGTATTTGTATTTCGATACATATTTGCATGTATTTTGCCCATCCTTGTCCCTGGAGAGGGGGAACAAGAGGGACAAAGGACAAACACAAATCTGCAATCGCAGCTAGGTGACTAGTGCGCGACCGAAAAACTCCGCCTGGTCCACTGGACATGGAGAGGTCCCGGGTTCGATACCCGGACCAAGCGGATTTTTTCGGTCGCGCACCAGTGATTGGATATTTGTGTCTGTCCTTTGTCCCTCTTGTTCCCCTTTTCCAGGGATTATATTCGCCATTCTTGTCCAGGTCGCTTATACCTTCGCATTTAATTGCATTATAATCAAAAACAAAATTACTTTTTTTTTGTGTACGTGAAACTTTTTTTGGTTAGTTGCTCCGGACCGCTGCACTTCGTGAAGCCGTGACCTGAACCACGTCCCAGAAGGCGACGCGCCCAGTGTTGCATTGTGGGACGCCACGGATTTGCACACCAATTCAGTTTCTCCGCTAAATCTAGAGGGGAAAGTCACGTCACGCGACCTAATGTCGCGCGATGCTTGAACGCGTCACGTATGCAACGCAATTGCCCAGCAAGTTGCCGTACAATTTGTCAAATAAAACCTGACCGTGTTATCTTGTGTATGGTTACAACATTTATTGACGCTCTTGACTAGAAGAAGCCAACCCTAAAACGGCGTCCACATTAAGGGGAATCTGTGACGTAAAGATGGACAGTGCCCTTGGATGGCAGGGCGAGCCGGAAAGGAGCGCTGCATACACTTCGTTTCCCACCAAGTCAGAGCGCGGTCGAGGGCTCGAGTACATACAAACACCAATACCTCTACTAATAAGAGCGGAAGCCTCACCGGGCCGTTCACTGCGTTTGATTGGTTTGGCAGACGCAGAACACGTAGAGATAAATGTTGTTGTTGTAGTTAGCCATATAGTTTGGAAGAGGAAATAGAAATAAATGGGCGAAGGCGAGGACGTTGAGCTTTTGACGCTATTTTAATTGGTTCCATCGGCTGTTTAGGGTAGGCTGCGCTGAGACTCATCGTGAAACAAAACGTGGCATGTCATAAAATCAGATCTTTTTCTTTTCAAAGTTAACGCGCTGAAGTGATAACAAATTTAAATCCTGGTTTCTATATATGCGATTCGGATTTATTAGGGAAACCTAATCAATCAAAGCTTAAAAGCCATTTTGTGTTTTCCTTCGAAGAATCGGTCCATTGACGCGAGCCGAGCGGAGCACGAGTGGAACTTGTGGGCGTAAAACCCTCACGGGCACCTTTTAACCGCCGTTAAGTGTCACTGAGGCCAGACTTGATTGCGGTTAAGTGGTCCCTGATTACTAGAGAGATAGTTGCAGTAACTGCAAACGCACTTAATAAAGCTTAACTTCGGTTTAGGCTGCTCGTTGGGCACCCTACACCACGGTTAGGTCTGACCTCGGTCCCACTTAATTGCGGTTAAGGGGTGCCCGTGGTGTACTAACTGGGGTATATTGGGCTTCAGACACTGTCAGAAATCTTGGTATTCTACTTTCTCGCAAAGCACTCGAAATGGCCAATCACTGCAATTTATGGCGGAAGCTCGGCATACGACGTCTTCACTTTCCGCGGACGTTCTCTCGTATGACGCATTAACACCGTGACCGTGGGTTGGCAGCGCAGGTGCTCCAGATTTTGTGCAGGCTGAAGGAGGGCTTACCTCGGCGTAGACGATGCTCCGTTATTTAACCGTTGGGGCTGCGTCGCCTCTCCAAAGGCCAGTGGGTATTTTAGGCAACGGGGCGCCTCCGGCAACGAGCAATATCATGGCGAAGATGGTTCTGCGGGGCCGTGTTGCTCGTCTGGAGATACGGCTTGGGCGTTATCGGTGCGTCGTTGGCGCGGCGCCTGTGTTTGCATCCGTACTCCCGGCAGCTCTCAGAGCGTCTGATCGGTCGGGAACCCCGGCTTCCGTTATCGTGATTCCTCGCTAAGAAGCCTTTATTTCGTATGACTTTTCTTAGGGGAAAAAAAAAAACGATTTCCCCGAATTTCTAAGCAGAACAGAATCAGAAAAACTGCCACGATGCAGAAAACACTGGCGAAGAAAAAAACGAAAACGGAGCGAAGACGAGCTCTTGAAAGTTAATCAGCGGGTCTTGTCGCGGCTCAAAGCCCTTTGTGATATGAACGCGTTCTTTTTTTTTTTCGGCATACTAAAACCCGAGACGGAGGCTAATAAGGAGGAGATACACAACGTCTCAAACGCAGCTAGTAGATTTGTTCTGACCATGCTTTCTTTACGTCATCCAAATCAAAATAAAGATTTAGAATGACAATAATTGGAAGCGGGCCCGACAAGACAGTAACGCCACGGTGCGGCTTCTAGACGAAGCATTTCGTGTAGACCACGGCCGGACTTATATACACATCCAGTGTAGCAGCCAACCTTAGTTTATGATTCTTGTCAGCTTACCTGCGCACAGCGCCATACAAAAACGTTCGGTCAGCGCTAACTTTTTTCTTTTTTTTTTTCACGCAAGATTCGTAAGCTGAGAACGCAGATCACCTCCGTGCCCTGGCGAACAGGGCAGCAATCATCTGAATCCCAGCAGACCTGTGCCCGTTACTTGAAAAAATGTAATGGATTACAATTACAAATTACCGAGCCTCAAATATAATAGATTACTGTTACAAATTACTTTCACTGATAAGTAACAGATTACTTTACTCGTTACGTTACAAATTACTTTCACGTTGCTTTTTCTGTACACTTATCCAGAAAACAATAGAAACAACTTCCATGTTTTTCAAAACTGCTTTTCAACACTACTCCCGTATTATGGCAATCCTTGTAAAAATAAAATATTGTATATAAGAGAAAGAGTGTAGGTAAACTCCGTTCACCTGTAAGCTGACGAGGCACCGAAAGCTGCAACCCCAAGTACCATCCCGCTAGCTTACTGCCTCCGGAAATGATCTCTGGAATTGTGCAGACAAAGCTAGCGGTGCGCATGCTCAGTACCAGCGTCTACCTCCGCTACGAGATTCGGAGCTAAAGAAGCGATCTACGAAAGCTCCCTTTCGACTCGGGTGTTTCGCCTGTTATTCATGAGAAAAGATAAACTTGTTTTCAACGTTGCAATGTATAGCCAATGCAAAATGCAGGTGCCCCGGCTTACCTTGATATGTTTCCGTAGATTAGAATTGGTTGTTCTCGCTAATGACAATCTGTGTTTTTTGGCAAGCAAAGTGTCCACTGAAACTCTAGGTTTCCGTTCTCCTCAATGCCTTGAAGTTTAAACATCTCATCAAGAGATGGCCACAGAGACGACGGACACTCCATGAGCGAAAACTCAACTAGTCAGAGAAAAAGTGGCGGTTACGGGCTATCTATCGTTCATCGGTTCTCATTTTCATACCAATATTCGTGGAGGCCAGGGGAGGGGAAGGCATAGAGAGCGAAAGGAGCGGTGGTCATCGGTCTCACAAAACAATAGAGGATCACTCCACTTTTACGCGTTCTTTCTCTCTCTCTCTTTCAGCACTTCTTAGATGACCTAATCCCCCCCCCCCCCCCTCCTCCAGTTATGTTGACAGTCGACTGTAAAGTGAGGAGTGGACTCGGCCACCATGCCCAGACAAGTAAACCAAAAGAAGTATCGTCCGTACCCTCGAAGACGATGCTCTTAGTCTCGCGCCGAGCGCTTTTATGCCGTGCCTCAAGAGCGTGCTAGAATACAGTAGCGCACATCAAAGACAAAAAAAAAAAAAAAAAAAAAATGGACGCATCTCCACGTGGTGAATGATGTTGATTGGGGCGAAGCTCTGGTGGTGCTGATGATACTGATTTTATTGTTCATAGGTAGTGCTGATGTAAGACCAAAATAAAACAAAAGTTTATTTCAGGTTGCACTAGAGTACTGCAACCTGGAATAAACTGAGAGAAACATATATAAAATCTCACAAATTTGCAGGGCGTATTCTTCCTTCTTTCTTTTTTTTTTCATTTTCTCACTTTGCTTACGCAAACTGACGTTTCCGCTCAATTAATCGAGGAACAGGTACACACCGCTTGAAGATACATAATTTGATACCGAGTCTGAACTTGTCGTGTCGCAAAATCATTCGAAACGCCTTATTCTTTGGTCACCTTAGGAACGACGCATATTGAATTCCAGGTTCTTCTTACTACAAAGTAGAAAGCTGCGTGTTTCCTCTGAAATCAGCGTTTTCTTGCATGATTCATATAAGTGTCGGCGAAAAACACAATTCACTGCGCCAATTAAAGACAAAAAGTTTCGTCAAACGCGATATTGCACCTAAAGTTCAGACGGAAGAACGCAAATCACTAACGAACGACGAATCAAATGCAAAAAAAAAAAAGATTATTTAAGGAAGCCACATAATACAGGGTGATTCAAAGAGAGGCCAGGCTCTTTAAATCGACCGCAAAATTCGGTTTCTTAACCTATCGCGCTACGACTTTGTGCAGCGTTGCCCACAAATGGTGTTTTTTCTTTTTTTGTAAAATTTGCAAAGAACGAACTTACCTGGGGAAAAAGTAAAGAAAGAAAAAGGCTTAGCTCCTATGGAAACGCAGCGACGCCACCGGTCTTCATACAACACGACGCCGTTTCGCACGGGGGACAAGAGATGGCAGAATGAACGCTGCCAACGAACGAGCATACGGCGCCGAGAGCCGGCGTCTTTAGCAGACAAACTTTTCGACTCAAAAGCGGCGCGTGTTCCGCAGGCGGCGACAGTCGCAGAAACAAAAACAGGCGCGGTAACAACAAGGAACTGCAGTTCCTTGTCTGCTAAAGACGCCGGCTCTCGGCGTCGTATGCTCGTTCGTTGGCGGAAGTTGGCGTCGCGACCGCTTGCGCCATCTCTTGTCTCCCGTGCGAAACGTCGGCGTGTTGTTTGAAGACCGGTGGCGTCACTGCGTTTTCATAGGAGCTAAGCCTTTTTCTTCCTTTACTTTTTCCTCAGGTAAGTTCGCTCTTTGCAAATTTTACAAAACGAATGCACCACCTGTGGGCAACGCTGCACAAAGTCGTGGCGCGATAGGTTAAGAAACCGAATTTTGCAGTCGATTTAAAAAGCGTGGCCTCTCCTTGAATTACCCTGTAGATTACTTCCAAAATTCTCTGCATGCAACACTGCGTGCGCTGGTCCTCCAGACGTCTGTCTTCCTCGGCGCAGGTTGGTCTGGGTGAACGTGCGCCTGATCTTCCTGTCGTCGGGGGTACTGAGGCGTTGGGGCGTCTCTTCGGGGTGGCGCCGTGGCTTGTCAGGTAGCTTGCGGCGGTCGTCGAGCCATGGCAGCGTAGCTCAACGTCGGTTCCTCCGGTGCCACCGTGGTGACGGGAACCACTGGTTGGAGCGCCCGATGCACTTCTTCTAGGACAGCCTCGGCGATGGAGAGGGTTGGCGGACGACTGGTGATTGGCAGCAACCTTCGCAGTCCCTCCCGGACGAGCTCCCAGATAATTTTGCGGATGTCCGCACCAGGAGCGTTTTCGCCGCTAAGCAGCGCGGTTGCAGTGACGCTTGGATGCCGCTGGTAGTGGGAAGCGCGCGCTTGGAGGGCGCGCTCGATGTTTGTCGCCTCGGTGACGAAGGCGTCGACGGTTGCCGGCGAAGATGTCGTCTCTAACCCCGCACATGAGGATTCGTAGCTTCTTCTCTTCTGTAGCCCGAGGGTAGGCGCGGGCACTGAGGCGCAGAACATCCTCTGCGAAGCAGGTGACGCTCTCGTTGGGGCCCTGGGTCCTGGTTCGCAGTAGGTCCTCGGCTCTCTCGGTGGTGGTGGTTGACGAATGTAGCCTTCAGATTGGTCTTGAAAATGTCCCACGACGTCAAAGAGGACTCATGATTCTCGTACCAGTGCTTGGCGGTCCCCTCAAGTGAAAAATAGACGCTGTGCAGGCGCTGCTCGTCGGTCTAGCCATTGTGGCGGGCAACGCGTTCATACTGGTCAATCCAGTCTTCGACGTCTTCGTAGAGTTCACCGTGGAAGGGGGCAGCCGTCCGCGGTGCGACGGGCATGTAGGTGACGGGAGAAGCGGCGGGGGCTTGCGACTGGTTGGCCGTCGTCGTCTTCTTCAGCCTGGGCTTGTCCGGCAGCAGACCCAATTCAGGGGACTGACCTCTGATACGAAGGCTTCTTCGGGCTTCGGCGTCTTCGGCGAAGGATAGCCTTCCGGGGCTGAGCACTTCGCTTGGCCGGGATGTCCTTGGAGGTGTACGATTAACGGGCATAGAATGGTCTACCCCGCACCACCACCAAAATGTCACGGGTGGTGACCAAAAAAAAAACAATAAATAAACAGGAAGAAATAAACGTTTAATGTGGCGAACTTGTGCCAAAAATAAAAGGGTACAAAAGATAATAACAGAGCGTCGCGGGCGTCGAAGTCGGCGTAACAGCAGAGTCGAACGCTGGGGCGAAACTGACTCCGGTTCGTCACGCGGAGCCCCTTATGTACATGCGTAAGCTTCTGGTATAATCAGCGTAGAATGTTCGACGCGTAGAACATTCGGACCTCGAACACGCCCAACAGGATCCTTGAATTTACCAGAAAGCTAAATTGCAGGACTAACAAAAGATGCTTCGCTCCCAGGGATCGAACCCTAGCATTTCGCGTGAGAGGCAGGCACGATAACCGTTAGGCCACGCGCGCGCTGCCTCCTTAGCCGGCTGCGGGCGCGGCAATATTCAGAAGCAACTTTTGAAACCCTAAATTGCAAAAGTTAGATAGATCTCTCCGTTGTCTCTGGAGACTTCATACCAAAAACCATACACTGGGAAGTTCTTGAACAAGAATCAATGAGTGTTCACAAATATATTTCTTTTGGGCTGTTCAGTACAAACCCAATAAAAGTAAAAGAATTAACAAAACATGGTCTTAATAAACTTTATGATATTATTAAAAAACGATGTCTCTTTAAATAACACAGTATTTCCCTGCCACTCTCACTCAAGAAGAAATTGAAAATACTTTAAACCACTTTTATTATGAATTTCAAACTTGAATAAAAAAAATG